ACCTTTTTGCATCACTTTCACTTTAATTTATATTTCAATTGTTGTTGTTGTTGTTGCCCATGTATATTATTGAGAATAGAGGTATGTGAGTACATTGAGGTTGTGCACTAATGCTGTCACCACAGCTCGTATAAATTCCCTCATGGGGCACCGAACATTTGTTCAGTATTCGTCCCGAAGGACTGCTATATATGTCCCGTAGGACCACTACGTCCCCGAAAGACTACAATACCCTCGACTCTTGGCATGCCAACTATACCTATAGCTCTTGTATCATATACTATGGGCATTTATTATGAATATATTTCTCATCACTTATTCTTTCTCTTCTGTCACATACCACATGTATGTGTAACCATATATTTCATATCATATCACATATTGCATATTCATATGTCATTTCATATATTCACATAGCTTATTTCATTTCACATTGGTCATATCTCATAGCATATATATCACATATGCATATAATCATGTATATCATATCATATATCTTATGTTTCATGCTCTTATGTTTATGCATATCATGTATTCATGTACATATAAGAATCACCTATCAAATAACATTTTAGGAGTCACTTCTTACCGTAGTAACTCCATCATTGGCTCATCGCAAGCCAATGTTCGTTCAATAATATAAGTACAATTAAAATTGCACTCACCTGAGCCTTGCTTTGATTCGATTATAATCCTTTGATTATTTCGGAACTTGTTTAAGCTCAATATCTACATAAATATATCATTTCAAAACAACTATCATTACTTAAACCAACTTATATCCATAAAAATCATCTATAACTTCAAAATCTTATCCTTCATATGTAATTCAAGAATCATACTCAAATTTCAATATGTTCTAAATACAATTCTAACACTTCTATCTTCTTATTCTCATAGATGACAAGTCAAATTCAACTTAAAATTCAACTTATCAACTCTATTCCATAATTTCATATTAAAACTCATTTTCTTAAATCTCTTATAACTTCTTCATCTTTTGATTATAAGACAACTTAAGCTTTCCTTAAGCTTAGTTATCATCTAATGATCAAAACCTAATCTTCAATTTAACAAATAACCAACAAATAGAAAACTCACCTTATGCTCTGTACGTTGGAGAAGAAGGTAAGAAGAAGAAGAGTTTTCTAAATACTCTCCCCCAACGTTTATCTCTTCATAAAGAGATAACAAAATATCTTTCATGTAAAATGACCATTTTGCCCCTTAATTCCTTTGATATTTACTAATTATTTTCAGGAAACATTTCCGAACAAATCATTACACTATTCAAATATCTTACTTTAATCAACACATTCTGAAGTTTTACAATTTAGTCACTAACCCGTATTTTGGGATGTTACAGTTTCTGCCATGGTACTTTAGTACTCTTCACCCAAATCGCATCCCAAATTTAACTCAAATTCTTTGCTCCAGAAGAGAGCAAAGCTTATGATCTCATCTTTAGGATTCGCCTTAAACTCCAGTTAGTATTGGATCTAATTTCAACATTCCAGAAATCATTAACATTGAGAACATAGCTTCACTTGTATTTATCAAAATCCCTTTGTAATGAAGCTTCACTCTAAATAAATTCGGAATGCTTATGGATAAATCGTGTCGCAAGCTTCTACCATTGTTTCGTCAATTTGGACCAGACATTAATAAATTTTTCATTTTAGAAAAATATATATTTAATAAAGTTAATCTTGTAATATATTAAACTCGTTCGGGATTATGTCATTCTTTTTATTAGTTGGGAAACACTATTTTTTTATACAGTGATTATTTCAAAACATGCCCAGTTCACTTTTGAGGAAAAAATCCGACCCGTTGCTGCTTTCCAATGTTCGGTTACAGATGCTCCGGCAGTTCTTAGGTAATGTGCAGGAGGTCATTCTTGGTACAAAGCTTGATGTTCTCTTCCCCGCTATCCCTTTGGCCATTGCTGCTGATTTCTACAAGTTTGGGAGAGTAAGCAGTTAAACTATGTTTACGATTATTGTAGAAAATAGCAACCATAATTCGATGTTATGGGAGAGTAACTACTTAATATGTTCAAACAGCATTGGATATTTGCTTTGAGTTTGCGTAGACTTACGCCGCTTGCCGAGCGTGTCAGCTTTCTCGCTGAGTAAGTTCATCTCTTTTTCATTAGCTATATTCATCAATCTGTATATATATATATATATATATTAAAAAGCCAATTTTTTATTTAAAAAATGCAGACAAATTGCATAATACACCGGTCCAACAGGTAACTTTTTCGAATTTCTACCAGATAAATGAATAAAATATTGAGAATGAAAATGGGGGTTGATATATATTGTTGCAGTTGGAGGGTTACTGAATGCAACTTGTGGCAATGCAACGGAACTGACAATAGCTTTATTTGCTCTCTACGAAAGCAAAATACATGTTCTCAAGTACTCTCTGTTGGGCTGCATTCTCTCAAATCTCCTCCTTGTTCTTGGCACCTCTCTCCTTTGTGGAGGCTTAGCCAACCTGAAGAAGGAGCAAAGATATGACAGAGTAAGCCACACACACATAGAAAAAGTTAAATGAAAGAGAAGTTTGGTTTAATTAAGTTAAAGTTGTGAGGTTCTGAAATGAAAAAAAAATGCAGAAGCAGGCAGATGTGAACTCGTTGCTGCTGTTGCTGGGATTGCTTTGCCACATGTTGCCACTGATGTTCAGATATGCGGCAGCGCCAGGTGTATTGGTTGCCGAGTCTACACTGCAGCTGTCGAGAGCAAGTAACATTGTTATACTTGTGGCGTATATTGGATATATCATTTTCCAGCTTAAAACTCACAGGCAGATTTTCGACGCTCATCAGGTGATTATTTTTTTACATTAATTTCTTTATAAAAGAGCCTTTTTTTTAAGTAACAGTCCTTTTCCCCCCGAAGAAACTTATAAATAATGAACCAACGATCTGTCTAGGAAGACGACGAAGAAGAAGAAGAGGAAGAAAAGGCAGTGATAGGATTTTGGAGTAGATTTAGCTGGTTGGTTGGTATGACTCTCATCATAGCTTTGTTATCCGAGTATGTGGTTGTCACATTTGAGGTACAAACATTAAACCATTTCCATCATTTTACTTGTAAATTTTGCATCACATGGTTCAACAATATTGAATCATTTCAGGCTGCATCAGAATCTTGGGGCATTTCTATTAGCTTTATCAGTATAAATTTGATCCCAATTGTGGGGAATGCTGCTGAACATGCTGGAGAAATCATTTTTGCTTTTAAGAACAAATTGGTTCGTATTTGACATTAAATTAAATTTCATACATCATTTTGAAATTGGATTATTTTATTATTTATGGAATTTTATTGGATTTTTTAAGGATATATCTCTGGGTGTTGCTCTGGGTTCTGCAACTCAAATATCTATGTTTGCTGTAAGATATTCAGCAAGTCAAAACAACTTTAATTATATAAAAACTTGATCTTTGGTAGTAATTAATTATGTATAAATTTCAGGTTCCCTTATGTGTTGTGGTTGGGTGGATAATGAGAGTCTGAATGGATCTTGATTTCAGTCTTCTTGAAACTGCTACATTAACAATCCTTGTTGTAGCCTTCACTTTGCAGGTTTTTTCCTGCCCCATCTTATTTGTTCTATGAAATATTAAAATTATAATATTTCATTTCTATAAATATAAACAAATATATTTGTTTATCAGGATGGAACTTCACATTACATGAAAGGAATAGTACTTTGCCTTTGTTACGTTGCCATTGCTGCATGCTTCTTTGTTCATAAAACTCCGACCCCTTCGGGTAAGTTAAACTACCTCTTCCCCCCCCCCCTTTTTCATTAGTTAGCACCAACTAATTGCGAAATTTGGTTGTCAGAACTAACTACTGTGAAGCTGGGACTCAAATCATCATCTGGAACCTCAGCCTAGCCGGTTACACCCCCTCCGGTGGAGGGGGATGGTGTTTCTACCCCAAATCAAGGACGACATTGCCAATCATCCATGTTCCCGACGCTTGAAAAGTGAGGCCATTTTCAAGTTAATATATGAGAAGAAATCCTCTTAAATCGTTTGAAAAAGTGCGTATAAATAAACTGTGTTTCTGCGATTCCTATATAATAAGGTTTTTGCCTCTGATTTTTTAGTTTATAATAGCAGCATATATGAAAAGAAGGCATGTGGGTGACTGAAGGTTTAATCTCTTGCTGTTTTCATTTATTATATGCTTGCTAAGGCAGAGATAAATTGTCATGTATTTGTGAATGATGTTATAAATCTTTAATCAGTCCATAAAATAAACCTTGCCGATGAGATAATAAAAAATTTGAACTATCTTCCCCGGCTTTTCCATGGTCTATTTATTCTATATATTACTTGAATCTTAAAATAGGAGATTTTTATTAGAATAAAGTAATTGATATAATAAGAGTAAGATCAAACTTCAAAATGACCTGATGATTAAAAATGTCAAAAAAGTGAATTTTACTTTAGTACAAAATTTAGATTTTCTTTTATTAGTATATGTTCAGAATTTTCTTAAAGAATTGATAACGTACATATATCCAGTGCAAATGCAATTACTTGAGCTAAGAAACTTCTAAGAAAAATAATATTTTCTTTATCCATTAATTTTTAATAGACATACAAACTATTTTAATGCAATCACAGTGTATGTATACTTGATGCAATTTATTATATTTTATAACGGAATGGTTATGGATTCTGAGAGGTTTATTTTGACAGAGAAGATAGGACCTAGGTTAAAAGTTCTTACAATGACATTTCCTCTATCAATTTATAATGCAAAAATATATATCAAACGGACCATAATCTGCCACGTGACAAATATCTGGGTTAGAACAAAAAACTGGCATTTATATTTGCAAAAGCAAAAGGAGGCAGAATATGGTATCGTCAGATTTACTCTAACCCTGTTCATGGCTCAACGCTCAAGTACCAAGTTGATTAGATTTAATTGAAATAGAGTTTCACCGAGTAGTTTTCAAAGAAAAAAACAGTGAAATTGTTGATTATCTGCTAAATGAAACAAACACCTGATCTCAAGCTTGTCACGCCTAGTATCAATCTTACTAAACCTAGATAAAAACATAGGATCAACTTATATGGCTTCAAAAACTATAGCAAACCACTGTTCATCACTTTGCTTTTCCAGAAGAAGCATAAACAGAGACCATTATAGATTAAGCTCAGGGAACTGACCAGAGATTAGATGTAATTTTTGGAACATAACTGGCCGGTAAGGGGTTCATTCCATCTAATATAAAGGACTTAGGCAGGAGCTATTGTGCGGATTAAAAGAGATCGACTGTCATCTTGAGCTTGTTTTGTCTCCATTTTGGTAGCTTATAGAAGGCTCCCTTAGCCATGCCAAATTTTTCTGCAAACTCTTCCTCGGACAAGTACGCCTACAGGAAAATGAAACAAATTTCATATGCATTGCAAAGGGTACATTTTGAACCCTAGATGGAGCAATATTATAAGCTCTAAACTTTAGCTCGTACCTCTCTTTTGGTCACATCTATGCCTGAAACTGGTTCAGTTGACGACACTGTCAATCTTTGATAAGGATATATCAATGAATTCACACTAGTCTCACTTGCATCAATCTGGTTTGAGTTTTCATTAATTGAAGGGAAGCTTGACTCTACTACAGGAGAATCTGTACAAAAGTGATCTAATTTTTTTAAAATATTAAAAGATAACACAGGCAGTTTACCAGAAGAAGTAAAATGTAAATAGATACAAAGAGATAAAAAACAAGGCACCCCGATGTAATGTGCATTGTATATTAGTTTGCAAATTAAGTCATCAGACCTAAATCTAACCATGCAAGTTTGTCTCAAAATCATCCCGCTTAGTGCGGGTTCCTAATAATTCAAACTAAGATTCTCTGAATTAACTTTCCAAGTTGTTGATTCAATAGGGTGGAGGCCATATCAAGGTTTGCTTGGTCAGTTCAGTGAGAGAATGCAACTTATCGAGTGCTTAAAACTAGGACAACGGACAAAAACTTCTTTGAAATTATTCTCCTGTTCTAAAATAATTGAATCTGCTGATCCCATTAGTTTTTGAAATTATGTAATAGCATTACCAAATATAGGCACGTTCTTAAAGAAGAAACAGTAATCTTATAAGCACCTTGATAAAGAGAGGATTCGGTAAAGAGCTTCCTGGCAACTGGAGTTGGGCTGGATACATTGTGGTTGTCAGAAAACTTCAAATGTGAACCTGTTGATGCTGGAGAAAAACTTCTTTCCCATCCATTTGAACTGGTAGATCTGCTTCTTAAACCATCAGGAGTAGCTTCCCTGGAGCGTGGTTTCAGTTTATTTCTTGAGGGTGCCTGAATGGAATTGCATGAAGCTTTAATAAGATAAATTTTGTCAAAGAATTAAGTATAGGATACTGGGGTAGCCTGATCATAAGTTTCCAGCAAGGAAAATGTATCTTCTACTTGAAGCAAAGGAGAGTTTGGCCATCGATGAGAACTATTTGTTAATAACCTGTATATTTTTGAACCACCCTATAGGTCTGCATCTCAGCCTCACAAGACTAAAGGTCTGTTGGGAGTGCCAAGAAACCATAAATTTTTTAAAGTTGGAGAATAAATTAGATATTATTTTACTTGAGCACGTAACATCAGGATATGTCACCTCGAAGTGTACCACAAACATCAAGATATTTGGTCCAACATTAGCATCTATCCCAGAAATTATGAAGTGGTAGATGTTACAACTAAATCAGTAAAATGCAAGTCGATAATGGTCTTAGTCACTGTTGGAACATTGACCAGGAGATTTTTAGTTATTTCCCATGTTCTGCTTTTAACAGTTGTACCCTTTTGTTGGAAGTTCTACTTTTTTTGACAAATGAAATCTTAGCTTACCCAAAGCAAAATAGGTGTCCTACAAACATTTGTTCCTTTAGTTAACAAATAGATAAGAATTACGGCAACTGTGAATTGGAAGAATGGAAAACGGCCAACAATTAGAGACTATTTAGTTGCTTCCCTGTTTATGCAGACCAGAAAACATGAGTCCTAGTACAGGCAGATCTACACTGTACCACACTTTTTTTCTTTATAATCTAACAAAAACCGGACTGTCTTGTCTACTTCATACAATGTAAGGAAAAAGACTCGGAAGTCTTGATGTAGACATCATCTTTTTCTTTAATGATGTCTAGTGTGACCAAAATCAACAGAAACTCACAAAAAAACAAGTGGGAGAAACTACACTAAGTCGAAAAGAACGGCAACACGGTGAACCTAATATATTAGTTCTCATACAAATACATCTAAATAGAGCTTAGTAACAGGAACTTACAGATCCACTTGATGTTTTTCCCTTCAAGGTAGCAAGTTTCCGCTCAAACGAATTGCCATGCATCTGTGATACAGTAAATTAAAACTCTAAACTAAATGTGTTCTTGCAGCCAAATTGCATAGCAAAATCGTGAGGGCTCCAATTAAACAATACGTTGCCAGATAGCAAAACTAGGATATTATCTGATAGGAAGCAAAAGTAAATAAAAAGGAAATAACCAAGCTGAAAAAAAAAGATTAGAAAACAATCATAAGAAATTAAATAAAATATGGTTTGGCCAACACACTGAAAATTCATTCTGAGAGGAGTTTATAGTAGATACTTTTTACCAAGGCAGGTGAGCCACTTACATTTGCCTTTGAGGGATCCCATTCAAAAAAACAAGTGAAAAATGGTGGTTCATGGCATTCTGTAATAACATATATTGGAGTCTCCAAAGAAAGTTGTTCTTCCAGAATGTCTGTTTGAAGGAATTTCTGCCAGTCAAGAATACATATATAAGAGCAAAGAACGAAATGAAGAGTATAAAATATGCGCATATTGTTAACATTTATTAATCTTTAACATCATGATATCAGTATTTCATGCTACAAATAATCCATGACAAAATGAAAAAAACATACTTCCAGAAAATAAGCTCTGAGAGAGTATAGACTTATAATTTACCAGACCCAAGTTAAGGGCTTCTTGCTTTGACTTAATAGATGAGTGGCGTCCAATCCAAACATATATTTCTTTATGGCAGTTTAGCACTAATACATCTTCAGTGGTTAAATCATCTTGATCGAAGCTGTATATCTCTTTAACCTGAAACCAAACCAAGCTTAAGTAAATCCTCAAGACAACCAAATGAGTTATTTTATAGCTTAATAGTTTTTTTTTTAGTTTCTTTTTTTTTTTGGTAAAGACAAACTGAATATAATCCCAACTTTTTGCCTTCTGAATTTCAAAACTAAATGAAAACAATGCAATGCCACAGGAAAGTAACACTTAAAATTGTGACTAAGCAGATAAAAACTGAGATCACAATACACAATTAGCAAAATTTCAAGGAAGTCAAAATTTTGCATAGCAAACCCAGATAAAATAGAGAAACTTTCAAACCATTATATGTTCTATTACTAGATTGATGGGTTTAATCCAAGATTAATTGACCTTTTTATAGTTCATTTTAGACACTCCGTCTACTTGAGCATAGAGATCTTCCTTTCAGAAAAATCCATGGAACCGTATTTCACATTAAATACAATCCTCTTGACATTATTCTAATGGGTTCAAAAATAGGCATTTCCTTTAGCTAGCCTAAACTTCAATACAACCCTGTTAAAATCTACATTTACATTGCATCCAAAGGTGCTTAACTATGAAATATATGCAGGGCAACAGATCTAACCAAGATGTACCTTGAAATCACCTGAAAAGGGAAACCAAACCAAGCGGCAAAAGAAACATAACCGTCAGAAATGTTTTGCAGCAATTTACAGCCGGAAAACTTCTGAACCAAGGAAGAAGCAAATTATCCTTCCAGAGAACAGCAAAAAAGAGGGACAATTTGCTTACCTTCAGAACAAATAAACTTAAACAAATATGGATCTTCTATAATTTTTTCCATCTCCTTTTCTCTTGGATACTCTGACTTTCCACCAAGTGAACTCCAGAAACTATCAGGTTCGCTTCCTTCCCTCACTGATATGGGTTGCCATGCTGGCTGTGAATGGCATCAATGAAACAGAACATCAATTACAATTAAATGAGCTGGGCCCACAAAAAAGACAATGAGGAATTCCCAATATAAATCTGTAGCAGTGCCTTCATTAACCACCAACAGAAGGTTTAGTGCAAAAGTAGCAAAATAATTATAATATCTAAACAATATCCAGTCCGAATAACATAATTGCATACATTAATGAGTTCGACCATTCTATCAAGAAGGTCATGATCTTTGCTTGATGTGAGATTCCCAATCCAAGTGAAGACAGAATTTCCACTTTGCAGTATGTAACAGTAGGATGAATTCAGGGAGCTTGAAATCTGAAAAGATTGAGTTTAAATAAGTCATAATGTAGAGGATCATTTTGTTGCTGAAGGACAGAAAAACACAGAGAGTAGTGACTCCGGATAATGCAGAATCCAACTATTTGCACAATATTTATAATAAATCACAAAATAGCAAAACTATTTCTAATATGCTAAAAAATTAAGAAAACCTGAACAAAACTAATCAATCTGCTTAAAAGTTCAAAGCTTTCTCAAGAGGAAAACTAATCAATATTTTAGCTCGACTTAGCCATTGAATCTGAAGTTTTGCTCTAATGTAACCATATAAATTATATCAGTAAACAAGGTGAAAATTAAACTGGACGCAACTAACTCATTGATACTGCTACTAGTTCCGACTGGAAGAAGAGTGGTTTTGATGGCGTTTTAAGAGATCATTCTGGTTTGATTATAGGCTCTTTTAAGGAGTCTTCTGGTTCGGGCCCTCCTACACTGATGGAGCTTAAAGCTATTCAAAGGGGTTTATCCTTCTTTGTCTCCTTCCAAGGGATTGTTAAGGATCGGTTGATTATCGAGAGTGATAGCAGGGTGGCAGTAGAGTGGATTAAGAATGTACATTTATGTCTAGATGTGTATGTTTGTATTGTTAAGGACATTGTTGATAGGCTTAGAGCTCTTGAGGGTGTTGTTAAATGGGTTGCTAGGACAGCTAATTTAGAGGCTGATGCCCTGGCTAAGGCTGGAATAGGCTTATTTCTGTCTTGTTGTTTACGGTTGCCTTATGGTTTTTAGTCCGTGTAAAGGGCGTTTTGCGTTTTTTATGTGATGTAATTCTATAACTTTCTTTATGTTTAATGAAATCTCAAGGCACTTGTTGGAAATCCTTAAATTAAGGAGATTCTCTACCTTAGTTCTAGGAATTTCCTTGTAAATATTAGCCATAATCTAATTACTGATTTTTTTTTTGCTATGTTAAAAAGGGTATATTCTTATTCGAAGAAATGAGACTTTTCTTCTTCCTAAATCTATTCATGGTATCGAAAAGCCATAGGATTCATTCGATCCTACTCATTTGTCTCTCATCTCTCTTCCTAAACATTTTTTCCTTTTTTTCTTCTCTCATGGGTGATATCAATGAAACCTTCTCTAATTCCGGTTCAAATAGGCCATGGTGTAGACACTGTAACCGGGTTGGACATGCCAAGGAGAAATGCTTTAAACTCCATGGTTATCCTGGAAAAAATCAGAAAGAAAACAAGACATCAATGATATCTACTACTGAGGAAGATGCCCAGGATGTTCGGCTAACCAAAACTCAACTTGAGGCTCTTCATAAGCTCCTCGGGACTCCTATAACCATTGGATCACTAGCTATTCAAGGTACTGCCTTAAATACTACACATGAACCAATCTGGATACTAGATTCAGGTGCATCCAACCACATGACAGGTAATCTAAGTTTGTTTCACACACTTGTCATGATCACTCTCGGATTCGCATAGCTGATGGATCTTACTCACCGGTGGCTGGAATTGGAACGATTAGACTTACTGAAAATTTTCCATTGATAAAGTTCTATATGTTCCAAATCTTTCTTGTAATTTACTCTCAATTAGCAAGCTTACCAAGGATGAGAAAGTACTTGTTGATTTTTCTGCTTTCGGTTGTGTGGTTCAGGAACAGAAATCGGGGAAGATGATTGGTACTGCTAAAGTTGATGATGGCTTATATATTTGGAATAAAAACAGTTCACAAGAAGGGATGACCTTATCTACATCGAAAGAAGAATCTATCATGCTATGGCACCGTAGACTAGAACACCCTAATTTTACGTACTTGAAGAAACTGTTTCCTCTACTATTTCTAAATAAGAAAATAAGTTCCTTGAATTGTGAAGTTTGCCAACTATCTAAACATACTCGTGTCCCTTATCCTTTGAAACCTTATGTTCAATCTCAACCTTTCTCTTTAATCCACAGTGATCTATGGGGAGCCAGTCGAGTAAAAAATGTCACAGGGGCTAGGTGGTTCATAACATTCATTGATGACCACACTAGAGTTTGTTGGATCTATCTTCTCAAAGAAAAAACCGAAGTCTCTAGAGTCTTCCAAAGTTTTCATTCAATGATTCGAACTCAGTTCAATTCCAAAATTCATACCCTTAGAACTGATAATGGGAGAGAGTACTTCAATTATATCCTAAACCCTTATCTTTCTGAGCAAGGAATCATACATCAGAGTTCTTGTCCCGACACCCCTCAACAAAACCGACTCCCATCAAAGGTATTAAACTTTCAAACACCTTTACATACTCTTCAAAAAAAATTCCTTGTTTCGTTTTCCTAATCTCCCAACCAAAACTTTCGGTTGCAAAGCATTTGTCCACAATCATAAACCTAACCGATCTAAACTTGATCCTAGAGCCCACACTTGTGTCTTTCTTGGATACTCACCTACACAAAAGGTGTACAAGTGTTATTCTCCAACCCTACACTGGATGTTTGTGTCCCTTGATGTTACTTTCTTCGAAAACGAGCCATATTTTTCAGCCTCTCATCTTCAGAGGGAGATATTTAGTGAAGATGAGACCTTGAACAACCTTCTCATTATACCTCAAGACTCTATCAATCCTACCACCACTACAAAACCTGCTGAAAATCCTACAGCCACTGCTGAAATTCCTACAGCCATTGTAATTCCTGATTTGGACCCTGTTTTACTCGACTCCACTGTGCAGCAACAAGAAACAAGGGCGATTAATCATACAAATGAAGAAAAACAACCCTCTCCTAAAAAACAACAAGAAAAAACTCAGCAGCTTCTTGTATATTCACGGAAACATCAGCTGACAGAAACTGAAACAGTAGTGCCAATGCCATCTTTACCCGAGGACTATCCTGAGGAAGAAGTCTCACCTCCTTCGCCTTCCATCTATCTTCCAATTGAAATCAGAAAGGGCACGAGAAGTTGCACTCAACATCCCATTTCTCGGTTTGTATCCTATGGGAACTTGTCTAAATCCTACAATGCCTTTATTTCTAATATTGACTCTGTAGAAACTCCAAAGAACATAGAAGAGGCTCTTAAGTCAACCAAATGGAAGCAAGTCGTGTTGGAAGAAATAAAGGCTATTGAAGACAATGGAACGTGGGAAATATCTAAACTACCTATTTGAAAGAAGACCGTGGGTTGTAAGTGGATTTTCACTACGAAAGTTAAACCAGATGAGAGCATTGATCGATACAAGGCTAGACTTGTGGCCAGGGGTTTCACTCAAACATATGGGTTGGACTACGAAGAAACATTTGCACCAGTGGCCAAACTAAATACTATCCGATTGCTCTTCTCAATTGTTTTCAATTTAGATTGGCCTTTGATCCAATTGGATGTAAAGAATGTTTTTCTCAATGGAGAATTAAACGAAGAAGTCTACATGGATTTTCCGCCCGGATTCGAAGGAAGCAAGGGCCAAGTATGCAAGTTGAAGAAGTCTTTGTATGGACTAAAGCAATCCCCCAGGGCTTGGTTTAATCGTTTTGCCAAAGCCATGACGAGTAGACAGTATATTCAAGGTTAAGCTGATCACACCTTATTCTACAAACACTCGGCTAATGGGAAGTGTTATATTCTCATTGTATACGTTGATGACATAATATTGACAGGAGATGACTCTATCGAAATTGAAAGACTAAAAGAATTCTTAAGTCTTGAATTTCAACTTAAAAACTTGGGGAATCTTAGATATTTTCTTGGAATGGAGATAGCAAGGTCAAAGGAAGGTATTTCAATCTCTCAAAAAAAGTATGTTCTTGATCTACTTTCTGAAGTCGAACTGTTGGGCTGCAAACCAGCCGAGACTCCCATGGAACCAAACCTTAAATTAGGAACTAATAAGGATGGAGAAGAGGTAGACAGGGGGAGATATCAAAGGTTAGTGGGAAAACTTATCTATCTTTCTCATACTAGTCCAGACATAGCATTTGGAGTAAGTGTTATTAGTCAATTTATGCATGCTCCTAGGGAGAAACATTTGGAAGCTGCCTACATGATATTGAGATATTTAAAAGGGACTCTGAGTAAGGGGTTGCATTTCAAGAAAAATGCAAATCGAATGATAGAAATCTACACTGATGCAGACTGGGCAGGTGCTATTAATGACAGGCGCTCCACAAGTGGTTACTGCAGCTATGTTTGGGGTAATCTCGTGACATGGAGGAGTAAAAAACAGTCGGTTGTGGCACGCAGCAGTGCTGAAGCCGAGTATCGAGCTCTGTCCCAAGGTATATGTGAAGGAATGTGGCTACAACGGCTAATGGGAGAACTAAAATTATCCTATACAACACCTATAATACTAAACTGTGACAACCATGCAGCAGTTAATATAGCTCACAACCCTGTACAGCATGACCGCACCAAGCATGTGGAAATCGATTGCCACTTTATTACAGAGAAAATTAACAAAGGGGAAGTTTGTGTTTCATATCTACTTACTCGACAACAAGTAGCGGATGTGTTAACCAAGAGCTTGAGCAAAAAAAAGTTCGAAGAAATTATGGGCAAGCTAGGTTCGATTGACATCTACACTCCAGCTTGAGGGGAAGTGTTGGAAATCCTTAAATTAAGGAAATTCTCTACGTTAGTTCTAGGAATTTCCTTGTAAATATTAGTCATAATCTAATTACTGATTTTTAGGGATAGACTTGTAATTAGAGATTATTTCCTTTTTTATTTTTTTCTGCTATGTTAAAAAGGGTGCACTCCTATTTGAAGAAATGAGAGACTTTTCTTCTTCCTAAATCTATTCAACACTTTTTTCCTCCTTCCGCTGATTAAGGAGCTTCTTTACGAGTTCCTTTAATAAAAAAGGGGGATTTTAACGAGGATTTCAATTCTTATAAAAAAAAGGCAACATAGGTTGCTCAGCAGGTACCTCAATTTGGATAAACTTATAGCTGATATTTTTAACTTCAAAGTGTATTTTCTCTTATCAAGATATAATTTTCAAACTGGCAACAGGACGCTAAAGAGTATTGAGGAGGCTCTTATTATTAGTAGAACATTTGACAAGGGCAATGACAATGGTGGTGGCCCTCAAACAAAAACATGACTTATGGTTATCAGAAAAAAGAAGATATAATAAAGCAGGCATCTGATTGTCTGGTGTCTATGGGAGGGTGTCAAAGAGAGAGGGACATAGCAAAACAGAACTGTTATAGGATGAGTATTAGATCTTCAACTTACCTGATCGACCTGGATAGCCTGCATGTTTTCTGGATTCGTTCCTTGAACTCGAAAAAGAGCTGTCTTTCTCTCATCATAGGTATCATCATCAAGACCTGTTTCAGCAATAAACTTCTTGTATCCAGCACTAATACCTCCCTTTATATTATTAAAAGAAAGGCAAGATCGAGTATTAGAGGGCCTCCATATTTATAAGTAGATTTATACAAAATTTAGTTTATATTCAAAGGAATAAAGGTAAAATAATCTTGAGAATAACCAACCTTATAGACAATTAATGTCTGGAAAATAAGGAAAAACTGAAGTGGCTCCTTATTTTGAGCAACCTGAGCCTGAAAATGAAACATGAGACTTATTTATTAGGTTAAATAAAACCTATCGAAACATCATTTTTCAAATGCAAACGATTTTAGCATTATACATATACTCATAATAGCTAATCCTCATAAATTCATGAAAATAAAGAATCAATAAATCACTCCTTTAAATAAGAAAAAGCAAAAGACCCATTACTGATCACAGAAAGCAAAATTAAAATTCACAATCGAACTTATCTGCATGATAAAGTTCGTCATTTTCAACACCATGAATGAGTAAAATATTAGTTTTCTCTCGAAAGGAAAAATATAATCATATAGAAACAAGTTACGTAGGGCCACTGAAAATGACTTCAAAATACTTGATTAATTCTTGAATATCCCTTTCTATCCAAAAAAAAATCTTGAATATCCCCAACTCATCTTGTCTTCATCAGGTTAGCCAAATCAAGGCAACAAATACAACAACTGCACGAGTGTTGGAGAAGGAAAAAGAGAACTTGCCATTACTGGATCCCCTCTAGCTGAATCAACAATAGCATCCATATGGAAGATAGCATCAGCTCTATCTTCCTGTAAGAACAAACAGATAATGAAAAAGGAGAAGCTGATTAAGTGAATGTTAAAAACTAACATGTTAAACTGAAATGCAGCATGGGATGCTATAATTGCGTAAAAAATAGTATCACATGAAATTAAGAGGCAGGTCTTAGTCCAAACAAGAAAATACAATTTAGTAAAGAAACCGTGTTGGTATTGATTCAACATGGTAATTTCTAATTAGAAATATTGACTGATATTTTCTTTTCTATTCCTCTAATGCCTTAGTTGTGAAATTATATTTAGAGCCTTTGTTTATGATTGCACTTCAACAATGATAATATTTACATGCTAAACTTAGCTGCTCAAGGAAAAGTTCATACTTTATACTTCCAAATAAATATTTTATTAGTCAAATAATTGCCCGGTAAGGGGAGCAAAAACTTTAACACTTCAAGCAAGGTATCACCTATAAGATTCTCAACATAGGCTCTTCTAGTTGTTCATGGATTTGTTATTGATTAAAAATCCTGATCTAACATTGGCATTGAAGACATTGAAATAAACATACAAGATTTCTATATATAAAAAAAAGAATAATATGTTTGCATGACTGTGGACTTATTTGTAGATATTTTGAAAGATTTTACATGTCTAGGATTCCAAATGTGGGATGCTGGATCAAGATGGATAGTAATACTCTGTCTCAAGCACATCCAGGTTTACTAGACAAAAGCTTAAGGGTGCGTTTGGTTCACGGAATGTAAGATTACCAGTGAGAATAAAAGATTACCAAGGAATAAGATTACTGGGAATGTTGTGTTTTGTGTTTGGTTGGTTTAGCAGGAATGTAAGATTACCGTGTTTGGTTAAAGGAATAAAAAATTATTAGAATGTATATTTAACCAAATTGTCCTTATTATATATTTATTTTTTTTAACAAGTTGGAAAATATATATATATTTTCTTTAAAAAATTTAAATTCATAAAATTTATATAATTTTTTTACAAAATTGAAAATATAAAAAGGTTTAATGAAAGGGTAAAATTTTATTTTAACCTCTGAACTTCATATAAAATTTTAATTATAGATTTTTTTTTGTAAATCTAAAATAGTTTAAGGATAAATTTGTAATTTAACATTCGTAGAATTTTTATTATTCAATGACAGAAGAATGATATTTTTGAAAAATAAAAATTTTTTAAGGGCATTTTAGTCCAAAACGACGGTAATCCAACAATACCTAAGGGAGGGGTAATGACATTCCCGGTAATATACCCAAAAAAATCCACTATTGATAATAAAACATTACCGGGAATGAGATTCCCGGCCAACCAAACTAGGGAATGCGGATTTCATTCCCTTGGAAATCCCACATTTCTCAAACCAAACGGCCCCTAAGATTTAAATGAAAAAATAAAAATAAAAATGAAATTTACCGGTACACTTCCATGACCAAGCCATGCATAAAATAAACTCTCATCCCTTTCATTTCCAGGATATGTATACTGCACAATATAACAATCCCCCACTGTAGAGTTTAGTCTGTTCTGGAGCTGGAATTAGAACCAGTTCGTGACCATCTACTCGCCAAACCTGATACAGCATCGAATTAAAACAAGTATGCGACAGTAAAGGTTTAAAGCCACGATTCAGGAAAAAGTCTATTTTGTGCAATTGAAGCTACTTTTAGTGTGCCTCTGCAATTTATATAAGAACAGGTGTCCTCTTCAGGAAGCTCCTTCACTTCATAACCCTGATGCTTGAAAATTGCTGAAAAAAGAAAACAAGTGAAACCCTTGAGTGACAAAATAAGCAGTGTACAACTGATTCCTTTCTCTTATTTTGTCCCCTGTTTCTTTTTTTCTTTATCCATTTCCAACAAATTTGTTGCAATAGGTAAAAACCTGCCACTTTTTCTCGCCCTTCATCATACAGCTTGGTGTCCACAGTTTGAGGCCAACTGTTGAAGTAGGATTTAAAAATCGAAGTTTCTAATCCCTCAGTTAAAAATGTTAGATGAGTCCCATTTGACCTGTCTTGTTTTCTGAGGAAATCCTGTAAAAGAATCGGCAGCAATTTAGTGAGAAAGATTGCAATTAAGGTTCTCCTAGCATGGACAAATTCTTCCATTTAAATATCACAGATTCTCCTCACATTCACTAACATTATCATATCTTTATGCCTTATTAGGCACTTCTCTAAATGAGAACTTTAGAAATTGTGACCCGAATTCCATTTGGCCCGGTCCAAAATTGAGAGAAAAATAGGGTTTTTCGCAATCTCTCTTGTAAATAAATCTTGTAAAACCACAGACTGTAAATTCAGAAAAGATAGAAACCTATGGATGTGGATTTCGGAAGATCGAAGTTTAACAGAAAGATGGAACATATTATCTATAAAGTGATGTAGGAGGCTGCCTTGTTTACCGAAGGCTGCTATGCGTGAACAAGTTAAGGAACTGATGAGAGTAACATCACTTAAGAGATGTAATTTGAATAGAGATTGTCCTTCTACTTCCCAAGCAGAGCACCCCCTTGCAGATAGTTTTATAAATACTGCTTAGATGATCTAGGAACATCCAGACAAAGCAGAAGAAATAATCCTTACCTCTGCAGCTGAAATTGATGACTTTCGTTCAGTTATTAAGGTGGTTCTTCCCATCCAGACAAAAACTTCAGAACCGCAATCTAGCATATAACACTTGTCTTTCTCAAGCATATCTTTGTCCAATGAATCACTTCCAATTTGAGATAGTTTACCCTGAAGATTTATCCTGTTAATGGAAGACCTTAAATTGTCACTCAATAAAGGTAAGTTATTTCATTTAAACGAAGAACCAAAAAAAAACTTTTAAAACAAAGAAAGAGAAAAGGCATAACATGATTGGTATCACCCAGAAACCAACAGGATAAGTTGATTTAATCAATAATAATCTCACTAGTTGAACAGCTAGAGAAGAGCAGTTATTTATAAAAATATTGGAGGTAATCACCAACAGGTATACCATATCTATTCAATTTTACATATGCAACATAAACTTGTCTCAGAATACTAATACAACTTGTATTAGAAAAAAGCCAAACTCACCAGTATAATATTACAGGACTATCAACATGTTGAGGACCACCCAAAGCTGAGTCCCGGGGAATTGGTGCATAACCACCAAATAAACTCCAGAATTCACCAACATCGGAGTCGCCAACCAATTTTTCCATCCTCTGCAACAAGGAACCATTGAATAACTGCAATAACTTTTACTTGGAGAAGGGTTAAAAGGAAATTCCCAACCTATAGTTGCCACATCACATTTTCCAGTGTGCTTATTCTCTCTTTGATATACTGAACAACCTCCAAGGCTTTAGCCCTTTCTTGGATGCTAGAGTTGCAACCACAAAAGAGGTAAATTTTTGATGCAGTGTCAAGAATGAATACATCATTGTGATTCAGGGATGATCGAGAAAAAGGAACCTGGTCAGCAAACACGACAAATGAAAATTTTTAGTTAATATTAAGCAAAAGTATTGAGAAAAACAAAATATAGTTATTAAAATATTGCAGTACCAGAACCTGATTTTAAAATTTTAGATAACGGGTTCATGTTTATCATCAACTTGGACCTTGTATTAACCTTTTATTAACTGTTTCTAAAGTCTTTGTATCTAGGGTATCTTTTTACTTTCATTTTACCTGTAATGTTGAGAATATTAAAGCATCTCAAATTATTTCTCAAACTTTAAAATACAACTTACTTCTTTAACATGAACAACATGATCTCCCTTGCATGTTAACAAAGTGACTTGATATGTATCCCCATTCAAGGTCCCTTGCTGTGAAGTGTATACTCCTTCAACTGGAATAATACAAGGTTTAAAATATGATAAAAATTTCTCTGTTTCTTGACCTTGAACTTCTCTATACTGAACGGCACAAGACCCTAATGCTGCATCTAGTTCCAGCGCTTTGTCTGATGCCAAGTCTGAGTCTACCTGCCAATACATAAGCCAATCTCAAAACACCCAGCAGTAAATAATTCTGCGTATGAGAGATATTTTTATAGACTTTATATCGAAAACTTATACATTATGATTAATGCATCTATACTTGATAATTTTGGGTTTCACTTTATTGAATTATCATTGAACTGTGTATTTGTACAATTAATACAATTAACAAAAACTTACTAAAGAATTTCAATATTTTTCTTTTTTTAATGTTTCAATTGCATTTCAATCATAAAGCTCAAATCGGAGTGTTATATAATCAAACAACTTCCTTCATTTGGAAATATTTGGAATATTCATTCATTTTCTTGTCAATACATTAGTATTCTTGATGTTAAAGAAACTATTAAGTTTAACATTCAATAAAAAGACCTGAACATGATCACGTCCAAGAAAAGAAAGACAATAATAATGTATGGAAGAAACAATCAATAACCTCGTTTGCATCATTTCCAAGCCAATAATGTATGTCGTGCTGTGTAGGCCCACTTTTTAGCACACTTGTCTGTCTCGGAAAACAAGCAAAATTTAAATATGTAAAATCTTGTTTGAATCTATAAACAATTGTCACATACTCCATTTCACTAATTTGACCAAAAGACAGAGAGATAAAACGCCAAAACATACACTTAAAACGACATATGCACTTCCAGAGTAAAATTTTCCGATCGAAGATTTTGGAACTGGAACCAGCCGCAGTTTCTCAATACACCAGATTTCTAAACCACTGAATAGAAACACACACACACACACAGATATTAAAATAGAGAAACAAAACAAAGAAAACTTGTACAGTTAAAAGTAAAGAACATACGGTTTTGCCCCCGCTCCATGGAATACTGGATCAACGTCTTTACTGTAAAAAGCCATAATCTCCCGTCACTAGAAAAGAAAATTACAAATCTGCAAAGCAGGCATTGTACGTTAGAACTGAAAAGTTGATAAAAGAAAGAAATCGAAAACAAAAAGAAAAACATACCTGGAGCTGAACAAACAGAAAGTTGAATAGAAACTCGAGAAATCCTAAAACAAGAAAACAAGAGTATATTCTTATTAGAGTTTAAATATGAAGATTTGACATTACCATATATATATATATATATATATATATATGTAGGGAAAGAGGGGGGTTTGGCCGGTTGAAGATGGCTGAAGCCGAAAGGGAGGGGAGAAAGAGAGGCTTGACTTTATCGTCCAGCTAGCCTGGGACCCACCATCTGCAAAAGTATTAGCTTTCTCGATCTGTTGGTTCCCACTCCCGCCTGCTCTTTGATTTCAAGATTGTAATCATAATGGTAAGAAAAAAAGCCGTTTGTCATTTCTTTAATGTTTTTCAGGTAATTATAGCATATTTTATAAAATGTTATAAAATTACATTTATAATTAAAATACTTTATTAAATATATTTTTGTTATTAAAAGTAATAATAGATTATTTTATTCATAAATATATTTATAATAAAAATTATGAAATGTTATAAAAATAAATTTATAACTAAAATGATTTATTAATTATATTTTTATTATAATTAAAATTATTGATTAATCATATTTCTATTATTAAAACTAACAAAAAAATATTTCAGTTATGAATATATTTATAATATAAATTATAAAATATTATAAAAGAATAAATTTAAAATATAATTGATAAATTATTTTAGTTATAAATATTAAATTTTTATAAATTGCTTGTATAAATTTGAGTATCTAACAAACAGCTCATCATTAAAATGTATGCATTGAGTATAATTAAAGATTTGAGTTTGTGAAGTCAGACGAATACATCGTGAGAGTAACAGACGCGCTAATCACTTGTTTGGTAACCCGTCGTGGGCTCGTGGCCGTGGGCTTGGCCTAAGCTGCAATTTTATATGCAAAGAAAGAACAAGAGAAATAATATATTCACGCGTTTGTTTTAGATTGGATATAAACCTTACTTATTATTGTTTTTATCAGCAAACAAGATAATCGTAATAAAAAATATATTGAAGACCAACTACAAAGTGGTTAGTGCTGAGGTAAAGAAAAGATTAATTTAACCATATAATAACAAATAGATTTGTACACAATCTGATCACACATACTTTTATTCTTTTATATATTGTCAAATAAATTTTTTGAGTGATAAAAATTAATGACATATAACACTCTTTATTTAAAAATAAAATATATTTTTATCTATTAAAAATATTATTAAAAATTTATGATAAATATATAAAAAAACGAATTACAAATATAAGTTTATTATATACATTAATATATGAATTTAATAAAAAAATTTAAATTAATATTTGATTTTGATATTTTTTAAAATTGATTTATTAGGCATAATTCTCTTTTTCACCGTCTCTTCTCAACGGTCAGAATCAACTCCATCTACAGAACGAGATAAAAACAAAATTCCACGTTTTTCTAAAATTCAAGATTCGAAATTAGGGTTTTGGTTGAAAAGGGGAAACCATGAATCCATTAACGCTATTGAAGCGATTACAGAACATCAACGCAAAAGAAGCAGATGTAGGAATATCGGAGGAAGCATCATGGCACGCCAAGTACAAAGATTCCGCTTACATCTTTGTTGGTGGTCTCCCGTATGACCTCACCGAAGGTGATCTCCTTGTTTGCCCAGTACGTTTTCTTTCTCAAGTGTCATTTTATTCTCCCCACTTTGAAATTCTTTACTGGTTTAAATTTACCTCATCAGCATCTGACTTGAATATTTATTTATTTATTTTTCTCAGATATGGAGAAGTTGTAGACGTCAATCTTGTTAGAGATAAGGGTACGGGGAAATCGAAAGACTTTGCATTTATTGCGTTTGAGGATCAGAGAAGTACAATTCTTGCTGTAGGTTAGGATTCATCTCTCTTCAACTTTTCGAATCTGATATATATTATAAAGAATGCAGAAAATGATGTAATTAAGGTATTCTTTTTGGCATTGAAGATAACCTTAACGGGGCACAGATTTTGGGTCGAATTTTAAGGGTTGATCATGCTGAAAAGTATAAGAAGAAAGAAGAAGAAGAACAAAAGAAGAGGGAGGCCCGAGGGGTTTGTTACGCTTTCCAGAGAGGTGAATGTACCCGAGGAGCAGGATGTAAATTTTCACATGATGAGCAAGTAAGATTCATTTCCATTTAGCATTGCTTTTTGATACATGTAAGATGTAACTAATTTGGATGGCTTTATCACAGTAATCACGAACGGGCACTATTCAAGGTCCAGATGAATTGAAAGAATGCATTGCTCATCAGGCCTGGAAGCACCGGCCAAAAGGTGAGAACAAGAAGATAAGTGGTGCCATACTTAGATTTCTCCCATCATTTAAAATGGGGACTACTGAATTATCATATTTTCGAGTTTTTTAAATAAAAAATAATATTTAAAAATATTTTTTAATTATTAAGGCCTACTAAATTACCATATTTTAAAGTATTTGAAATAAAAAAAGTATGTTTAAAAATATTTTTTAATTATTAAACTTAAAAATAATTTTAAAAATGGGCCCTCCAAGCTTGGGGCCCTAGGCTGTCGCCCCCTGGCCTATTCCCAGGGCCGGCCCTGTTGCTCATGCTAGATAGTAATTTTGTTTATTCAGTAGTCTATATGTTTTATAATAAACTAAATGGATTAAATTATGTCATTGTTTCAAACAAATTAACTATGCGCTATTTTAAATTTGAGTTGAATGAAGTAATGGTTTTGTTCTTTTCTTCTATGGATCTCAGCACATAGATCATAAATCATTAAATTTTCATGGTGATATGCTAATAGACTTTGCTACCATATGTCAATTATTTCCCATCCTAATGCAATGATGCTGTTGTCCAATTAATTGCTATTATACTTGGTCTCAAGTGTGAGAATCAAATATCGTGCGAGTAACCAACATGGGTATGGTTAGAATTTTCCAAGTTTTCTCTTATTTGGAGAACCCTTGAAGGTCGTATCCCCATATGCATCTGTTGAACAGAGATACTTGAAGAACAATGAAGAGTCCTAGCTGCATAGATTAGTCGTGCAATGCTCTGTTAATTTTGTAGTTTTTTATTTTATTTTATATAATTTGGGAAAAAGAAAATGTTTTCTTCTGTTATTCTTCAGTTTTGGCTATTTTTCTCCATCTTTTTTAGGCTAAGTTTTATACATGTCATGTATTGTGTAGTTGATACTTGATGTATCGAAGCTCTGTGCTTATGCACAGTCTTTTATGTTTCTGCTATTTATATATTTCTCCGTTTTGTGCCCAGAGAGCTGCAAACACCGGTTGGGGCCCTCAAGATAAAAGCTCGAGATGGGGAAATGACAAATTTGAGGGTTCAAAAAAGAGAAAAAAAGTTTTGGCATGCAGAAGGGAGCAGTTCAAGAAGGTTTTCGATCAGCAAGGGGCAATGAGAAGGCCTCAGAGAAAAGTGATGGGAGAGACGGAAAGAGATCTAGAAGGTACAATAATAATGATGTTGGACCAACATCGAGAGAAGATTATAATGGTGGTGAAGATAGGAGATCAAGACAACAAAATGATGATGATCCGGGCAAAAGGGAAGAAAAAAGATCTAGAAGGCACAATGATGGCGACTTTGAGCCATGTTCAGCAGAAGATCATCATAGGAAGGATGAAAAGAGATCAAGAAGGCATGGCGATGATGGTGAATATGGGCCTAGGTTAAAAGAAGATAAGAGGGATGAAAATAGATCAAAAGGTCATGATGATGATGAGTTTGAGCCAAGGCCTAATGGAGATCGCGACAGGAGAGGAGAAAAAAGATCCTTAAGGAATGAATCAGAATCCTATCCAAGAGAAGATCGTGATAAGAGAGGTGCTGAGAAACGGTCAGGCTACAACAGGAATTCATCCTCCCATCGACATGGAGAGAGATCTTATCATGAAGATCAAGTCAGATAAATAAGAACGGTTTTACGTGCTGGGATGTGTTTAACCTTTTCTTGTACAGTTCAAGGTGCATCTCTCATTTTATCCTAAGAATTGTTACTAATATCTGCTTTCAACAAAAATGTTTCATGGGCGATAAAAGCAATTATTATTTTGAGATGATTTCTTGTTTCATCGGTGATTCAATTTGGTGATGTTTTTATGATGTATATTCACCACGGCTGATTATTCATGTTCTTACCTTTCCTACATGTGCAACATGATTTGTAGTCTTGTGGGGGTGCTTATTGATAGAGATCATTGCACGCCAAAAGAATTGCTAGCTAATGAGAATCGTTTAGTACTGGCTAACCAGGAGATGTAAACATACTTAAAAATGAAGTTTTTTAGTTTTAAATGATAACTCACCTACCAGTTTCTTTCACTTCAGTTCCTTAAGTCTCCAATATCGCTTGCAGTTATAAGGTCAAACAGAACATTACAATTCACTCAAGAAGCTCAGATTTTGAAATACGTGTTAAAGCACTTGCTTTGGTTTGGAAAACTATAAGGCTGGCTCAAATCTAAGTGAAAAGCAAGAAATAAAACTGAATCGAACACAGTTTCCTCTCAATCATAAGAACAGGGAAGCTTGTTCTTTATAGACAGAAGTAGATATATTCTATATTGCAAAAGCAATCTATGTGCATTCCAGTGCGACAGGTAAACTAACACAAGCAACAAAATATTGAAAAGAAAATCTACTTTGAAACAAAATGAGATGAAGCAACCAGCCTGACTGTTTTGTATCTCCAAGATGCTCAAAAGTGGAATGTGAAGATCGTTGATGTGAGACTGACCCAGAAGACCTGTTAGTGATTATATCAAAGTGGTGGTGTGGTGGTGTGTTGGTGTTAGTTAATTATTTCTCAAAGAAAGTAGCAAAAGCAAAACATAAGGTGATTGATACAAAAATACCTAACCATATCAGGATGAACAGACTGATTGATGATCAAGTCGTAGTACTAAGATAAAATATGAATAAGAAGTAGATATGCTCACTTTAAGCGGTAAATAGAGTGGCATGTAAATTCTAAAGTTGAAATTCTTGGAGATCTATGACAGCCATTACTATGCATGTAACATCCTCAATACCGGGTTAGTGACTAAATTGAAAAGTTTCAAATTTTGGTGATTAAAATAGAATGAATGAATAGTATAAAGATATATATGTAAATGATTGTGTAGGATTGAATTGAAAGGAAGTAGGAATGGAAGGGCAAAAGAGTCATTGCAAGGATCAATTAATTAAACAAGGGATAAGGATATATATGAATACAAGTGGGTTGAAAAGGAGAGAACCAAAGGCTTCCAGACTTATCTTCTTCTTCTTTCTTCCTTGTACGCGTGAACCAAAGCAAATGTAAGATTTCTGATTATTGAGTTTCTTGTTAAATTTAATATTGGGTTTTGATTATTAGATGATAACTAAGCTTAAGTAAAGCTTAAGTTATCTTAACATCAAAGGATGATGGAGTTAGGAGAGATTTAAGATGTGAAGTTCTTAAACGAAATCTTGGATTAGAGTTTATAACTAGAATTGAAAGTTAAATTTGACTTGTCATCAATCTAGTTAAGACATACGAAGTATTAAAAGTGGAATTCAAACATGTTGAAAATCGATGTAATTATTGAATTACATATGAAGGATAGGATTTGGAGGTTTAAGATGAAATAAATGAGTATAAATTGGTTTAAGGATGTGTACTAGAGTTAAGAATGAAAAAGGGGATTAAACATGAAGGATTTAATCCAAATGAATGAACTTTCGGGTTCAAAAAGAGGATTCTGGGCAGAGTGCACCGATGCACATTCATGGTGCATCGATGCATCAAGGTTAAAACCCATAAATTATTTGAATGTGCACCGATGCATTGGTAGTGCATCGATGCACTCTTTTAAAATAAAGACATCGAATGCAATTCATGCATCGATGCATAAGTAGTGCATCGATGCATCCCATTAATAATGAAACATCGAATGCAATTGGTGCATCGATGCATAAGGAGTGCATCGATGCATCCCAGCAATAATACTACATCGAATACCTTTGATGCACCGATGCATCAGTAGTGCATCGATGCATACCTTCATTAAAAGATGAAATTGACTTTTCTCTTAGTCTAAAGAGTGAATCATTAAAGTATATTAGTTATAATACTGATATAGATCCATGTGCGATTATGTAGATACTAAAAGTAAGCTTATTCCGGAACGATCAAAGGATTAGAATCGAAACAAAGCAAAGCTAAGGTAAGTGCATACTATATGTATATTATAATGGAATAAGACTTGTGATAAGTCTAATCCCTATGTTGATTTTTATAATACAGTAGTTGTGAACATGCATACATGATAATTATTGTGATACATGCATAAGATATATATATGTTCATGTGATATGCTATGTGATATGATATGTAATATGACCTGTGATATGAGAACATGATATGAAGTGACATGAGCTACATGATCACAAGAGAAATGACATGAGCTACATGATCGCAAGAGAAATGACATGAGTACATGAACATATGAAATATAAGAATAATGCCCATAGTATACGATATGAGAATTATAGGTGTAATTGGCATGCCAAGAGTCGAGGGTATAATAGTCCTTCAGGATGTAGTCCTTCGGGACGTAGTCCTTCGGGATGTAGTCCTTCGGGACGTAGTCCTTCGGGATGTAACCCGAGGCTCAAAAATTCCAGTTTGTAAAAGGAGAACCGATTCCCCCCAAGGGGGTACCGATTCCCTCACTGTTCATCAGCCCAACGGTCATAATATTTGAATATTATGAAGGAGTATCGATTCCCTATGAAGGGGTACCGATTCCCCCTCATTCTGGACAGCCTTTTTGAGTAGAAAAATCATTCTCAAACGGCTCCAAAACATCCCCAACGGCTAGATACGACTTCAAACTCATTCCAAGCTATAAATACAAGCTGAGGACACTTGAAGAAGAAAGAGAACAACTATCCAAGCAATCAAACACAAGAGAAGAGTTTTTCAATCTTATTTCATCTTTCTCTTGTAAATATTTTGTTCTTGTGAGCTCAATCTTGTAAACACCTACCTTAGAGAGGTTTTCTTGTTTACACTTATTATCCTTTTGTAAAGGGGAAAGGTTCTAGCTTAGCCCGTGTAAAAGCTAGGAAAAGGTTCTAGCTTAGCCCGTGTAAAAGCTAGGGAAAGGTTCTAGTTTAGCCCGGAAAAACTAGGGAGTTGTAAGGTTATCTCTTTGTCCTCAAAAGAAAGAACAAATTAGTGAATTTGTTGGAAAATCCTTGGTGATGAGCTAAGGTAGTGGATGTAGACTTTGGTTGATAAAGTCGAACCACTCTAAATCGCTGTGCAATTTTCTATCTTTCAATCTCCTTACTCCCTAAACACAAAACCATTCCGACCCCTCTTTGCAAACCGTTTCGGTTGTCGATTCGAGCTTCCGAAAATCCTAACAGCATGGTATACCTATTTCCATAGTTTCTGATCGGGATCCTAGATTTACATCACGGTTTTGGAAGTCATTACATGGAGCATTGGGAACTCGGTTAAACTTCAGTACAACGTTTCATCCTCAAACTGATGGTCAATCAGAGCGAACTATCCAAATTCTGGAGGATATGCTTAGAGCGAGTATCATTGAATTCAAAGGATCATGGGAAAAATATTTACCACTTGCTGAATTTGCATACAACAATAGTTATCAGTCAAGCATCAAAATGGCTCCCTATGAAGCTCTTTACGGAATAAAATATCGTACGCCCTTGAACTGGTATGAACTTAAAGATCGAGAAGTTATTGGTCCTGAGTTGATTCAGAATACGGAAGAGAAAGTTCAAGTAATTCAGAATAATCTAAAAACTGCAGCTGATAGACAGAAATCGTATGCCAATTTAAAAAGGAAAGAAATTGAATTTCAAGTCGGAGATAAAGTGTTCTTGAAAGTGTCTCCGTGGAAGAAAATATTGAGGTTTGGACGTAAAGGAAAGTTGAGTCCTCGGTTCATTGGACCTTATGAGATTACTAGGAGGGTAGGATCAGTAGCATATCAGCTAGTTTTGCCACCTGAAATGGAAAAGATACACAATGTTTTTCATGTCTCAATGCTTAGGAAATATAGATCTGATCCATCTCACGTTGTGACTACTGAAGAAATTGAGATTCGACCAGATTTAACTTATGAGGAAGAACCTGTTCAAATATTAGCTCATGAAGTCAAGCAATTAAGGAACAAGACTATTCCATTGGTTAAAGTCTTGTGGAGAAATCACAAAATAGAGGAAGCAACATGGGAACGTGAAGAGGACATGGGGATTAAGTATCCCTACCTCTTTACATAATGAAAATTTGAGGACGAATTTTCTTAAGAGAGAGAGAATTGTAACATCCTCAATACCGGGTTAGTGACTAAATTGAAAAGTTTCAAATTTTGGTGATTAAAATAGAATGAATGAATAGTATAAAGATATATATGTAAATGATTGTGTAGGATTGAATTGAAATGAAGTAGGAATGGAAGGGCAAAAGAGTCATTGCAAGGATCAATTAATTAAACAAGGGATAAGGATATATATGAATACAAGTGGGTTGAAAAGGAGAGAACCAAAGGCTTCCAGACTTATCTTCTTCTTCTTTCTTCCTTGTACGTGTGAACCAAAGCAAAGGTAAGATTTCTGATTATTGAGTTTCTTGTTAAATTTAATATTGGGTTTTGATTATTAGATGATAACTAAGCTTAAGTAAAGCTTAAGTTATCTTAACATCAAAGGATGATGGAGTTAGGAGAGATTTAAGATGTGAAGTTCTTAAATGAAATCTTGGATTAGAGTTTATAACTAGAATTGAAAGTTAAATTTGACTTGTCATCAATCTAGTTAAGACATACGAAGTATTAAAAGTGGAATTCAAACATGTTGAAAATCGATGTAATTATTGAATTACATATGAAGGATAGGATTTGGAGGTTTAAGATGAAATAAATGAGTATAAATTGGTTTAAGGATGTGTACTAGAGTTAAGAATGAAAAAGGGGATTAAACATGAAGGATTTAATCCAAATGAATGAACTTTCGGGTTCAAAAAGAGGATTCTGGGCAGAGTGCACCGATGCACATTCATGGTGCATCGATGCATCAAGGTTAAAACCCAGAAATTATTTGAATGTGCACCGATGCATTGGTAGTGCATCGATGCACTCTTTTAAAATAAAGACATCGAATGCAATTCATGCATCGATGCATAAGTAGTGCATCGATGCATCCCATTAATAATGAAACATCGAATGCAATTGGTGCATCGATGCATAAGGAGTGCATCGATGCATCCCAGCAATAATACTACATCGAATACCTTTGATGCACCGATGCATCAATAGTGCATCGATGCATACCTTCATTAAAAGATGAAAATGACTTTTCTCTTAGTCTAAAGAGTGAATCATTAGAGTATATTAATTATAATACTGATATAGATCCATGTGCGATTATGTAGATACTAAAAGTAAGCTTATTCCGGAACGATCAAAGGATTAGAATCGAAACAAAGCAAAGCTAAGGTAAGTGCATACTATATGTATATTATAATGGAATAAGACTTGTGATAAGTTTAATCCCTATGTTGATTTTTATAATACAGTAGTTGTGAACATGCATACATGATAATTATTGTGATACATGCATAAGATATATATATGTTCATGTGATATGCTATGTGATATGATATGTAATATGACCTGTGATATGAGAACATGATATGAAGTGACATGAGCTACATGATCACAAGAGAAATGACATGAGCTACATGATCACAAAAGAAATGACATGAGTACATGAACATATGAAATATAAGAATAATGCCCATAGTATACGATATGAGAATTATAGGTGTAATTGGCATGCCAAGAGTCGAGGGTATAATAGTCATTCGGGATGTAGTCCTTCGGGATGTAGTCCTTCGGGATGTAGTCCTTCGGGACGTAGTCCTTCGGGATGTAGGAGTCCTATGGGACGAATACTGAACTAAGGTTCGGTGCCCCATGAGGGAATAGATACGAGCTGTGGTGACAGCATTAATGCACAACCTCAATGCACTCACATACCTCTAATCTCAATAAGATACATGGGCAATGCAATTGAAATACCGATTTACAGTGAAAGTGATACAAGAAGGTAAGTTTCGTATGTGCATTATATGATTATATATGTTATCATGTGATAAATAAATGCACATTGAAATGTCATTATCCAATGGTAAGTATGAACATTCATAAGTTTATCGTTGCATATTCATTTATTGCCTCACTAAGTCTATGACTTAGCGTGTAAGTGATTTACACGTAGGTACCAAGAATCAGGAAGAGTGGAAATAGAAGTAGCACAGGCAGCAATACTACAAAAGAGATCAGATCAGAAGTAAATTGACAAAGTATGTACTTGATTATGTATAGAGTGTTGGTATGTAATAAGTGTTAATTACGAATACTCTGATCGATTTTGTATTTTATGGTCTTATGTAAATTAATGTATTTCGTTTTAATGAAAGTTTTAAAAATTCCCGGGATTTTCTATAAGAGTCAAAGATTTGAAAAGTCAATGTGACACCTCGGACTTGTATTCGGGTCGGATATGAGTTAAGGGTGTTACAATGCACTTGCAAGATGTTTGAGTAATTTATGTAGGATGATGTTCTATACCATTCACCAATAATCCTTGCAAGAACAATTTCCTCTGCTAAAATGGTGGAATAGATCTTTCAGTATATCTCTCTATTATAAAGTCTTGATATAAGCTTAGCAATTGAATGGCAGTCCCCACAAACATGAAAATTCTTTATAATTCGGATAGGCTGAGACGCTTTGTAATACCCCAAACATCAGGTCTGTGACTAAAGTGTAAGAATTCAAAATTTAGCAGTTTGATTTTGATAAATTGAAATGTTCAAGGATTGATGTTGAATTTTTCTTTAGGATATATTATCAAAGATTGAAGGATGGAAGATCAAATTGGTTTTTGGCATGAAATGAATTTAAAATTCAATTTTATGTTTATATATAACATGCGATGGAAAAAATGAAAGGAAAAGAAAAACCTAGAGAATTCTCTTCATCTTTTCTTCTTCTTTTCCACCGTGAACTTCATTGCTAAGGTGAGTAAATTTGAAGTTGGTTGTTTATTTCATTTTTTATTTGGTTTTGAATTTGTGGGTGGTATAGAAGCTTAAGAAAGCTTAAATATAATTAGAAGCTATGAGATTGATGAGTTAATGGTGATTTGGTAAAATGGTTTTTTAAGGGAATTGATGAAAATTTATTTGTATTTGAATTTTAAAGATATATTTGACTTGTCAAAGGTCTAAATAAGGTGTTTGAAGTATTAGAAATGATTGGTAACATGTTTGAAGAATGAGTGTGATTTTTAGTTTTAAGTGTTCTAGTGAAAATTTTGGATGATAAAGGGAATTTAATTGATGTAAGTTGGTTGTGATAAGTGTTATTGAGTTTAAGGGCATGAATGGAGTTAGAAGTATGAGATTTAGATGAGTTTTGGGTCAAATTCGAAATGAAATAAGTGAATTTTAGGCAAGGGTATCGGTACTGGAAGAATAATATTGATACTATATGAATCAGATGAACAAAATCGATACTAAAGGAGTAGTATCGATACTGGGGGTATCGATACCAATAGTAAGGTACTGTTACTGTAATTGAAGAGGAAATTCCAGAATGCAATTTGGGTATCGATACTGAGGTAGGTATCGGTACCATCGAAAGAGAGTATTAGTATTGGGTGTAGAGTATCGATATTGTTCAACCTAAAATTGTGAATTAGGTGTTTCATTTAGTTTATGTAAATGCTGATTTGTTAACAATTAATTGAGCTCCGATATTCATTGTCATGTTAACGTGTAGATTTCGATTGGAAGCAAGTACCGAACGAATCGACGTAATAAAGAGATTGGGCAAAAGTGAAAAGGATTTCTTATTAGGACTTGAGTGAGGCAAAGGTGAGTGCACACTACTTTAATGTATTAATACAAAGGAATAAGACTTGTGATGAGTCAACTTCCAATGATTTTTAACTAAAATAGAATTTTGATAGTTATTTATGTTAAATTTTATGGTTTTACCTAAATTGTATTTGAGAAGCACTGTTTTGATTTCGTTATTATATGTGTTCTATGTAAATAAATGATCATTTGAATAATGCTATGCGAAATACTTATATGGTTAAAGCTCAAAGTATGTGCTAAGAGGATTAGAGGTATCATTGGCATGCCAAGAGTCGAGGGATTTTATGCGGTCCTTGGGGACAATTCTATCTGGTTGTTCGGGACAATTCTACGTGGTCCTTCAGGACAAATCTATGTGGTCCTTCAGGACAAATCTATATGGCACTTCGGTGCATATTCTACGTGGCACTTCGGTGTAAATACTATCCGGCAATTTCGACTGCAATTACAATGCACAACCTCAAAGTACTCACATACATTGAGTTTTCAGTGATATGCGTTGGGCTATTTAAATAAGTTAATATGAATTGAACCATGCATAACAATATATGTTATTTTTATGAAATGTATATTGTTTTCCGTATTTCATATTTCTCCTAGAATATTTAAGCAAATGCTTTTATGTTTTATTATGTTCATTTATGCCTCACTAAGTCAAAAACTTAGCGTGTGAGTGTTTCACACATAGGTGCAAGTTAGGAGGAGAAAATAGGGAGCGCGTCGTTATCATTTTTTAAAGAATCGTTTATGTCACCAGAATCAGTAAATAAAAACATCTTGTCTGTTAAATTATTTGGTAGTGGCATGTAATTAAAGAAGTTTCTAGATGCTCTGATTCGAGTCTGTTGAGATATTTTTGTTTAAGTTATGAATATTAGTTATTTAAATCGAAATTATTTATGATATAAACTATTTTCAAATCAAGCAGTTTTCTGACAGCTTTGATTTACAATACATTATAATATAGAATTGTCTAAATGTTATCTAAATCGGTTTTAATTTTTACATTTAAATAAAAATTATGATTTTATGAAATTTTTAGTTTTAAAATAAAGAAATGCATTTTTGAAATTTTAAAGAAACAAAATTTTATCGATATTCAAATAGTAAATTTTTCGTATAACTGATGTGACATCTTTGACTTATATACAGGTATGTATATGGGTAGAGGGTGTTACACGCTTCCACGTAAAGTAATCCAAAGGCAATTGCTAACTTCTAACTATGAAGATTAAGAGCATGCTCTTGCATGTCATCTTCTTCAATAAGTTGCAGAAGGTGGGTTTTGCTGGGTATATAACCAGCTGATTTTAATCTCGCCACAATCTCATCCAATTTTGAGTATATCTCCTTGGAAAGAGGATGATAGTTACCTCCTGCCAGAAATTCGTGAATGACTCCATTGACCTCAATTCTGCTACAACCTTGTTCTTTCTTTAGTCCAGTCACTCTCATGTGCTTCCTTAATCTAGCAACACCATCCCATTTCCCAGTTTTGGCATATACATTAGCATTAGCTAAAAGAATATATGCTCCATTATTTTCAGGATCCAGCAAGCAACGGCTACAAGCCAGTTCAGCAAGCTCAAAATTTCCATGAATTTGACAATCCCCAGGCAGAGCTCCCCATACAGAATCAGTAGGGAGTATTGGCATTTTCTCAATGAATTCAACAGCTTCTTCCAACAGGCCTGCATGACCGAGTATATCAACCATGCAAGAATAGTGCTGGATCTCAGGCACAATACCATAAACTGGTTCCATCATATCAAGAAAGGTTTTGCCCTCCTTTACCAACTCTGCATGGCTACAAGCACATAACACATTGGTAAAGGTCACAGAATTGGGCCTGATCTTAGTTTCTTGCATCCTAGAGAACAAATCTGTTGCAGCTTTCCCTTGTCCATGCATCGCCAAACCTGCAATAATGGCACTCCAAACAAATACATCTCTCGTCTCCACAGAATAAATACCTCAAGGGCCTTCTTATATCTCACATTTGGCATACATATCAATGAGCGAGGTTGTAAGATGACAATTTAACATAATTCCCTTCTTTTTGATATATGCATAGATACAATCACCTACTTCCATTGCTCTTAACTGAGAACAAGCTGATAGAGTGCTAACAAGAGTGATTTTATCAGGTTTAGCAATTTTGCTTTGTTGCAATTCATGATATATGGACAAAGCGTCCTTTGACTTTCTATTCTGTTCATAGCCAGATAAAAGGGCAATCCATGCAGCGATATCTTGCCTAGGCATGGAATCAAGAACTTGTCTTGCTTCGTCATATGCTCCGAATTTAGCATAACCATCAAGCATAGCCATCCATGTGACAATATCCTTCTCCTTCATCATATCAAACAATCTTTTTGCACCTTCAAGACTTCCGCATTTTGCATACATATCTAGCATTGCATTATTCGAACTCAAGTTCGCACACTTTCAATATCTTTCAATATACGAACACACCCATCTCCCAAACTCCAAGTCCAGCTTCTTGTGCAAGCTGATAAACACCCACCATTTTCACGTCTTTGGCTTCACATTTTCTTCTTCCATTTTTTGAAACATCTGCAAAACCTTTTCAGCACAACCCCTTGTGCCAAACCAGTGATCATTGAATTCCACGACACATCTTTTTCACCAACCATCATAAACACCCTATAAGCTGAATCCAAATCTCCACACGAAATATACAAATGTATCAACGAATTTGAAATAAAAACATCCGCCCCTAGCGAGGCCTTAATCACCATCCCATGAAGAGTTTGTCCAACACATAAACCAAAAATCTCCGCAGCAGCCTTGATCACAAAGGGAAGAGTGAATTTATTGGGGTATAAGGACTCTCACTAACCATCCTTAGAAAGATCAAAATTCCTTCGAGAGGTTCAGGGCTTGAAGCATAAACCCGAATGAGGGTATTCCATGTGTAAAGATTCGGTTTGGGAATTTGACCGAACACTTTACGAGCATAATCCAAGCTCCAAAAAGGCAACAAAACGGAGGCTGCAAACAGTTTGCTAGAGGAGAATGGGTCAAACAGAAGTCCAGTGCGGAGCATTTGGGCATGGATTTGTTTGAGTTGGCTTGAATTGGTGCACCGCTTGATATGTAAAAACACAGGGTGGTCGTGGTCGTTATTGACAGTTGGGGGAGCTGAGCAACGTTGAAGAGACAGAAGAGGTGTGCTTAGAGTTTCCATAGCTCGACCCCGGTTGTTTCTGCCAAACTCAATGATTGAAAGCACATAATCACCATTTGTTTATCAAGTTTTTTTTTTTTTATTTACAGTTAGATTTATAAATAGAATCAGCAAAACAAAATGAATGATACAATGAACAATTAAAATGGAATTCTTTTTATGGAGTGTTTGAGAACGTGATATTTGCACATCGTCCATTTTCCAATATTCAACTGGAAAACAAAATGAATATTACGATGTAAATAGTATTCCTTGAACTGGAATGCCCTTCAAAAATTGATTTTTTTACTGCAAAACTCATGAAACCATAAAGTGTGATTATTGAGATAATATTTCATAAATTAAAAATTAGAACTTTGGTTCCATATTTATTTTGCTCAGCATCACTACCCCATGATGCCAAGCTACGTAAATATAAATAATCTCTTATTCAAACACATGATTTACACGAGGAACCTAGTTTAACACAGCACACGTAACCTATCAAAGCATCACAGCAATCACCATGATCATATGCTTAATTTTAGCTGTAACTCGTTTCTTTTGGTCACAGCCTCACAGGCACAAAGGTACAAAAACCTGTAAAAAACCAAACACACACACACTATAAATTAACCAACAAAACATCACCGCATCTCACAAAATCCTCACTATAGTATCCCCCAGTTCCTGAGTAATTAAATAAGATTAAAAACTATATATATAAAAAAAGGAAAATCAAGGGTGAGAAAATAATAAGTGCAGAAAAGATTACATACATACGACCTCACACTTAAACAGTGTACACAATGATAAAGCAAGGCAGCACCGCCCTTGGATTGAAGACCAACAACTCTTCATCATCAAGCTTGGCATATGCCCCATTCCCTCCCCTTCCGATCACCGAATCAAACCCACCGGCTTCCTTGTCTATTTCTTCCCCTTCTGATCCAACCCGGCCCGCCACGACCCGACAGACAAGCATGGCCCGTTTCACGTTCATGAACTTGAATTCTTCCTCTACATCCTCGGGGATCGCCATGTGCGCTCTCCAGCTCGTGGATAGCGTCGAGATTCCATCCATTTTTGGTGAAAAACCAGACTTAATTATCCCACAAGCGTTGCAGTACTGTTGAGTACAAATGCTTGAACTCCCGTTAAGTCCCAAATCACACATGAAAGTTGAGCAGTTAAATCTCAACAGCTCGTTCCCATCAGCTATGCACCTCTCGTCTCGCCTCCCTATCGCACCGTTCCTCGCGGCTTTCGCTTTGACCAGCTCTCTGTATTCTTCGAACCTCGTCAGAATCTTTGAACTGTTATGGATCTTCAAAATATGGTGGATTTCAGGGTTCTTAACTTTGTCGGTCCAACCGGTTTTAAATATGATCCGAACAATGTTGTTGCCTGAATCCCCATCAGTGAGTTGGGACACGGCGTGCTTGGTCGCTTGGTGTTGTTCGAGAAAATGGGGTTTCTGGAAAATCTCACCGCAAGCTGTGCATGGAAAGATATCATTACGTAGAGGGAAAAACGGGCACTCCGATGAGATGTCGGATTCTGGACAAGACCCGGATTGTATTTGATGAGCGGTTTCTGAATCCGATAAATGAGTTTCAGGCGGGATAACCATGGAAACAAGCGATTGTTGGGAGTTTCTTGCAGAGGTTAACACCGGGGTGGTTGCTGAGTGCGTTTGGATGGCGTATTTGCAGTTGGCTTTAGAAGTAGAAGAAAAAAAGCGTTTGAGGAAAGTCCAGGTGGAGGAAAGAGGTTTGCGGTGCTTGTGAGAATTAGGAGAAAGAGGTAAGGATTTGCGTTTCTTGGTTGGCTTTTGGGCGGCGTTGAAAACGAAGCAGCCAAGGTGGAGAAGAAGGATGAAGAGAGAAAGGAACTTGTTGAAGAATGACCCTATATTGGTTTTCGCCATTGATAAACACACTGAGACAAGTTTGATAGCTAATCTTGAGCTGGGGGAGGTAGCTTTCTGGATGTAGTTTTCAGGCCATCAAGCAGTCAATTGCGTTGCTAACATAGAGGGAGGTGTTGGAGGGAATGATGAAAAGGAAGATGGTATTGTAAGAGTGGGGGGATAGAAGAATAAAGCAACTTCATGCTACATTGCCCATTTAATATCATCCTTCTTTATCTCCCTATTTCTTTATAACATATTAATTTGTTGAAATTAAATATAATAATTGTATTTCTTACGCTAAAGAAATAGATTTCTTTATTTCAGGGATAATTAATTATTCTATTTAATATGGTCTTATATTTTTTTTACTAAGAATATTAATAATTATTCATCAAGTTATTCCCTATTGCTTTGTTCTCTTTTATATAGAGAGAGAGAGAGTAGGATCCAATTACATAATATAAATTTTTTAAATTTTATACCTTTTTAGGATCGTTAGATGAAGTAAATCCAAAAGTTGAGATTAACAGTAGGAAATATGAAGATATTCATCGGAAAAAAACTCAGAAATATAAAATAATTTTAAAACTCATAAATATGAAAATAAAATAAAAACTCAAAGTTTGTTAATGAATGTGTTAATATATTATTCGATATTTACATGGTTGAGAAAAAATTAACTTCAATATTTAATTTCATACTTGTATCAAATGACCTTGGTAGCATTTGCCTTTTCAAGAAGAAATAATCTTCTTGCTCAATAAATTTTCCTATTAGAATAATTAGGGCATGGGCCAGCATCTACCGACATTGTATAAGAAGCTATAATTGTAATTATTTTATTATTTAAATAATGTTATAAAATATATTTTAAATGATCGAATTTTACTGATTCAAAAGGAGTTGATTTTTTTCTTAATTTTTATTTTATACTAATAATTTAATTAAACTTATATTATCAATTAATCGAGTTTCAGTTTAATTGCAAAATTATATAAATATTTTTATATTTAATTAGAATTAATTTTTATATTATAATTATTGTTAAATAATAATGTATATATATATTTAACATAAAATATTACTTTCGCGTGTGATAAAATATAATTAGTTATTAATTTATTTTTAGTCCTTTAATATATATTTATTATTTTACAAAAAATAAATTGTTTTGAGTAATACCCACGTTTATTACAAAGTAGTTAAATTGGTATCTCTCTTTTATACACCATTATTGGACCCAAATGAGTTAGTAATTCAATATCGATGGTTTCAGCTAAATTAATTTAGACACACTCGTTCGAACCAAGTTATCTCAATGATTCAATGGAGGATTATTATTTTTAAAGATTCTAAATTCGAGCACCAGAAATTATAAGAACATTTGAATTTTTATTGTTAAATGATTGATAATCTTTAAAGTATATATTATACAGGGATCACCCTAAATAAAGCAAAAAATAGTTAAAAGACACTCAACCATGTAACTGATAAAAAAAATAGAATTTTAATAAAAATATTTAAAGTTAATTAAAAGTATATTAAAATTTAAAATTTTTAAGGAATATATATATATATATATTGAAAATCCCTGGTAATGCGTCATGACATAGACGTGCCTCATCACCTGCATGCATTCAGATTTTTTAACTTACATACTCATTTTGTTTTATTATTTTTTTGTATAATTGTATATTTTTTATTTTTTATTTTTTATATAAATTCCGGTTTTTACATATTTGTGTTTTATTAGCTTCAAATTCTTGTGTCCTATCCTATCATATTTTATAAGAAGTGATTTTTATTATATTATATTTACATCGTATTTTCAACCACTAGTTTTTGTTTTTATTCTTTTTCACTTAGTACACAACAATTATTGGTTCATGGGGGCTTGAGTTGCAAGTTTTTGCTGTATTGTTTCTTTCATAAATTATTGAACATGCATTGTATTATAGGCAGAAGATGCGGTTATTTAGATTTTATTTAGCAAAGTAAAAAGATACAAATTTTATTCTTATATCTTGTAAAAACTAAATAATTAGAAGAAAACGTATTTTTATTTATTGTTTGATAAAATTTAAAATTTAAAGAATATAAATATTAAAACACACACACACACAATTTATCCGAGGAAAAATCCAAAGTTATTTTTTCTCACAACAATACTAATGCCTTAAAACGTGATATCTTTTGATGTTTTGCTTTGGACTTTGAACATTGTCTGAACAAGTTGAACTCGTGATTTTGTCTAATTCCTCTTCTTCATCTATCCTTCATGTCTTTCTGACATTGAGCTGAAACCAATTTTACATGTATAGGGCAGTAATGGCAGTTATTTTATTTTTACATTTCAGGGATGGAATCTCTTCAATCCCTATTGGGGAAAAGCCCGTAAAAGAATCTTTTAATATTTTAATTTTAATCTTTGCAAAAGTGAGTGTAAATAAAATTCAGAACATGACTCAAATTCCATAATCCACGTATTACAATATTTTAAAATATAAAAACATGCTTTATACAGATTCTTTTCTTCAACTGAACCTTAAAATCAACCGCAAATATAAAATAAATTTTGTTACTAACACGGTATGAAATAATCATATCTTTCATAAATCCTGGCACATAGTATTATTTCCGTTCTATTAAACTCATCTCTTATTAATTTCTTTTAAAAAAATAAATTTTTTAAACTTCGACCATAATTATTTTGAATATTTAAAAAAGTTATAAAATATATATTTCAAAATTACTTGATTGAAAGTTTTTAAAACATATTTTTCATATTTTTATCAATAATAAATTTTAAATAATAATGACACAAAGTTAAAAAAAATAAAAAAAATCAATAAAAGACAGTATAATTCACTTTGCTTATTTTTTTCTATTTTTACCGGCAACTTCTGCCTTGACTAATTGTCTTTTCTCTGGAACAAAAGATTGAGTAATAAAGTTTAATTCAGTTTGTTTATTCGTACCACAAATAAAAGAGAAAATGAAATAAGTGATTAAAATTCGAAATATTCATTTCCGGTTAAACAATTAAATTACTTCAATTGAACTCCATGAATCTATTCAAGTTTTAGATTGTCAAGGTATATAATGCTTAGACCTAAGTATTTTTTTGGTGGGGGGGGGGAGTGTTATTAGTTAAACCATACCTTAATTAACTGATTTTTCGTTAATGAAAAGTTTAAAATTTTAGTTTGAGATTTATAAAATATTACACATTATTTATAGAAAAAATAAAAGAAATAATTTTATGTTAAAGTAATCATACCGCCAAGTATCTTAATCAATTACTCTGATTTAGTTTTGGAATCTTGCTTACGCTAAGTTGGAAACTTGAAAGAAATTGTATATAGAATATTGACCACGCTGGTGATGGTGATGATGAGGGTAATGTGGGCTACATGATCTTCAATACACATACAACAATACTATATCATTGCTATCAAGGTTGGTCTATATGATCTTCTCTTCGGCCGATTCATTTTTCTAATAACCCCCCATGGCCACCATGTCCCTTGACCCTGTGCTTTCTCTACCGTCCAACTTCATATTAGGGATAATATAAATTTTGGTCCATGAATTTAGTTTTATAATTTAATTTAATATTTAATCTTTTATATATTTAAATTTGAGTTTAAAGATTAATTTGGTATTTTTTTTATTAAACTATGTACATAAATTAATGTTTTTCAATTCAAATAGGTACATGAATTTGACTTTTTAATATAAATTGATTAAAAAATGTATATATCTATTTGATCTAAAAATTAAATCCGTGTACTAATTTGAATAAAAAAACAAATATCTGATTAAAAATTAGACACTAAATTAAATCATAAAATAAAATTCACATGCTTAATTGAAAATAACTTAAAATATATAATAACTGCAAAATTTTATCATACTTCTGATAAAATTAATTCAGTAAGTTACGTGATTAAACTTAAAATATATAATAACTGCAAAATTTTATCATACTTCTGATAAAATTAACTCAGTAAGTTACGTGATTAAACTTAAAATTTGATCCGATAAAAAAGTGAAAGTTCATTTCAATCTATCTATTATAAAAAGAAATAATTTGTCTTGGTACTACACTTAAAAGTTGTTTTAATTTATCTACCATGAAAAGAAATATTTTTGTCTTTGTACTACAGTTAAAAGTTTATTTTAATTTATTTACCGTGAAAATAAATATTAGAGTCTATGTATATTTAAAAATATAATATTTTAGGCCAAAATGCTAAAATAATTATTAATTGGTTTCAATATTTTGATTTAAATACTCTTTAGGCTCCTATCATTTTGTAACTTGAGCAAATTGTCCTCACAATTTTTGTTTTTTAACATAACTTTTAAACACTTATAAAGTATAAATACAAAATGAATACCTATTATAATTCTAAATTATTTTTTCTTCACTAACAATAATATTACAATTACAAGATTTTAAAATGTTAATTGGAAAAATATATATTAATGTTTTTAGAATTTTTAGATTTGGAGTGAAAATAAATGTTTAATTGAAAAAATGAAACAAAGTCGTTGGAAACATTTGAAATTAAAAAAAATCAAATTCATGAAAAATATTATAAAATTATATTAAAAAATTGTTTTTTTTATTTTACTAAAGAAATTATCCAACCACAGTTGGACATATATTATGTATTGACATAAAATATCAACGCCATTATTACTTTATTCACTTTGAAAGTATTCGTTAAATAAGTGACTCTATTTTTCAAGAGAGATCAATTTATTCAATTTCAAAATTGACAAAAATTAAAACAATGTTTAAACTATAATATTTAAGTCATTTAATTATAACTTTAAAATTGTAGACTAAAATTTTAATTATTTAAATATAAAAAATAAATTATTTGTATAATATAAAAGTTAAATTAATCTTTTTAATATAATATAAAAGAATTCTAATAAACTTGGAAAATTAAGGAACCACATGATTCATACATTTAATTATCTCTCCCTCCGGAGTCCGGACTCTCTTCCAGTGGTTGTGTAACACATGTCGTTGCCATTGATGCCCATTTCTCTATCACCTTTCTGACTATATTTTCCTTTTGAAAATGGTGATTTAATTTACAATTCTTAAAGATATTATTTATATAATAATATTTTCATTCATCAATGGATTTAAAACAATAA